TACGGAAAACTCGCGATGCGTCTCCCACGTTCGCGATCTTCTCGCCTGCTTTCTCACTTCCCGATTGCCTTTATATTTCCTTATTCTACTATGTGCCTGGGCCCATAACCTTTTACGACAAGGATGGGAATACAAGGCTGGCGAAAGTAAAAGTCTATTTGGAATGATTTGCGTATAATTTTCAACGAAACTGCATGCGGACTCACACTCGTACCCAACAACAAACGAAACGCAACTAACTCGGCACGTGCCCGAATATATCACACGCTACGCACATGGCGTAGGAATACATATACACGCATGCGCACGCGCACAGCCGTCTCACACGTCCGAAGCATGACAAGCTCTCTCTCACTCTCTCTCTCTCTCAAGCTACAACATGATACAAAATTAGCACGAAACGTAGATATCTCAATATCAGCAATACACGCGTTGCATCGAATCAGTGAATCCTTGACCTGCTTATTTATATTAATAGGAAGGCATTTTTATTTACGAGAATCGTGCCGCGCAGGTAGCCGCGTATTTAGGGTACACATAATATAGTACCCTAGCGTATTGGCCAATTTTTGAACTAAAAAGTTCGTGAAACAAACGTTGGTTTGTACAGTATTGCATATTCATATTAGGCAGTATGGCGAATTGTATGACAAGGAGACGAGGCACGATGTGATATCAATCGATTTCGATGAAACTTATAGTATAAATAGGTATCAATATCAAATATTTCGATTAAACAGATAAAATGCGCTTCTCAAGGGAGAGATGCTCTACTGAAAATGCTTATCAATATCTCGGAATTTTCAATTTTATTTTTCTCACAAACACTTGAAAAGCGCATCTTATCCGTTTAGTCAAAAAAACTTGATATTATATCTATCAATACTATGTGTTTCATAGAAATCGATTGGTACATTGTGCTGCCTCCTTGTCAATAATACTAAAATTTTAAACATACTAAATACTGATTACTGAGCACTTGTCCCTACAAATCTGCCACGCAACCTATTATACTGTTTAATATATTTATTGATAAGCACAAATATCATCGATTTTAATTCTTTAATTATTATTTCGAAAAATCTTTGAATGGCGCACTTATGCGTAGCTTTTTCTTTCAAAATTGAGTAACTGGATTATCAACCATTATTTTGAGTTTAGTCCAAGCTCTATATAACGCTATCAAGCGACGCGGTAGCGGCGCGATATCAAGTATATAAAAATAAAAGTCGGGTGATGACCTGTGAGTATACGGCACTGACACTGTCGAAAGGCTACCGCTAGCTTTATCTCAAAGTTTTGCCTCGTCAGATTTCCGATTTCATCGCCAAATTTTTGCTTCACTGTGATCCCATTGGTCATTTTAGTCACTTTAAGCCTGTTTTATGAAACTTAAAAATATTTGGAAAGACAATGGCATTAAACTTTTGCTGCATGTACTTTTGGATGGTTAAACGGTTTATTAAAAA